CTGCTATAGGTTTCTAGCAAGAATGTTTCTTACCTACGCGAAAACCACAACGTGATATGCCAATTTCTATTTACCCTTCATAAGGACCCTTTTCATCGAATCCGATCCGACTAAAGTGGGAGAGACAGACACCCCCTAGCCACCTTATGCAACTAGTGCATGTCAGTCGGTGGAACCAGTCTCACATAAGAGTACGTGTAAGGTCGGTCCAGGCCGCTTCATCCCACGATGCCGCCAAATCAAGATAAGACTAGTAACGGCAAGTAAATTGACAAAATCGACGCCCACAACTGCTTTGTGTTCTACTCGTGCATAGAAACTACGCATAGACCTAGCTCATGATGCCACTGTTGGGGAATGTAGCAGAAATTCAAAATTTTCTACGCATCACCAAGATCAATCTATGGAGTAATCTAGCAACGAGGGAAGGAGAATGCATCTACATACCCTTGTAGATCGCAAAGCGGAAGCGTTCAAATGAACGGGGTTGATGGAGTCATACTCGTCGTGATCCAAATCACCGATGATCCTAGTGCCGAACGGACGGCACCTCCGCGTTCAACACACGTACAACCCTGTGACGTCTCCTACACCTTGATCCAGCAAGGGGAGAAGGAGAGGTTGGGGAAGACTCCATATAGCAGCAGCACGACGGCATGGTGGTGATGGAGGAGCGCGGGACTCCAGCAGGGCTTCGCCAAGCACTACGAGAGATGAGGAGGAAGAGGGGTAGGGCTGCGCCAACAGGGAGATTGAATCACGTGTTGGGCTGCCCCTTTGCTCAAGTATATATAGGGGGGGAGGGGCTGCGCCCCCACCTAGGGTTCCCTCCCTAGGGGTGGCGGCAGCCCCTAGATCCCATCTGGGAGGCGGCCAAGGGGGAGAGAGAGAGGGGCGCACCTAGGGTGGGCCTTAGGGCCCATCTGCGCCTAGGGTTTGCCCCTCTCCTCTTGAGGACGCCTTGGGCCTTGGTGGGAGGCGCCCCAGCCCACCTAGGGGCTGGTCCCTTCCCACTATTGGCCCATGTAAGCCTTCGGGGCTGGTGGCCCCATCTGGTGGACCCCCGGACCCCTCCGGTGGTCCCGGTACACTACCGGTGATGCCCGGAACACTTCCGGTGGCCAAAACCATACTTCCTATATATTAATCTTTACCTCCGGACCATTCCGGAACTCCTCGTGACATCCGGGATCTCATCCGGGACTCCGAACAACATTCGGTAACCGCGTACATACTTTCCCTATAACCCTAGCGTCATCGAACCTTAAGTGTGTAGACCCTACGGGTTCGGGAGTCATGCAGACATGGCCGAGACAACTCTCTGGTCAATAACCAATAGCAGGATCTGGATACCCATGTTGGCTCCCACATGCTCCACGATGCTCTCATCGGATGAACCACGTTGTCAAGGATTTAATCAATCCCGTATGCAATTCCCTTTGTCAAGCGGTACGATACTTGCCCGAGATTCGATCGTCGGTATCCCGATAACTTGTTCAATCTCGTTACCGGTAAGTCTCTTTACTCATTCTGTAACACATCATCCCGTGATCAACTCCTTGGTCACATTGTGCACATTATGATGATGTCCTACCGAGTGGGCCCAGAGATACCTCTCCGTTTACACGGAGTGACAAATCCCAGTCTCGATTCGTGCCAACCCAACAGACACTTTCGGAGATACCTGTAGTGTACCTTTATAGCCACCCAGTTACGTTGTGACGTTTGGCACACCCAAAGCACTCCTACGGTATCCGGGAGTTGCACAATCTCATGGTCTAAGGAAATGATACTTGACATTAGAAAAGATTTAGCATACGAACTACACGATCTTTATGCTAGGCTTAGGATTGGGTCTTGTCCATCACATCATTCTCCTAATGATGTGATCCCGTTATCAACGACATCCAATGTCCATGGTCAGGAAACCGTAACCATCTATTGATCAACGAGCTAGTCAACTAGAGGCTTACTAGGGACATGGTGTTGTCTATGTATCCACACATGTATCTGAGTTTCCTATCAATACAATTCTAGCATGGATAATAAACGATTATCATGAACAAGGAAATATAATAATAACCAATTTATTATTGCCTCTAGGGCATATTTCCAACAATTGGCCTCTTCTTGCTTCCCCTGGTCGCCACGCTCGCGCTTCACCTTGCGGCATTCGCGCGCCCAGTGGCCTTCGTAGCCGCAGTAGTTGCACTTGCCTTTACGGCGCAGTGGGTTCGCGCCGCTGTCATTCTTGCCTCTGCCATCCCTGCTTTGTGGACGACCTTGTGGTTTCTTGCCTTTCCCGCCGCCGCCGGACGATCCGCTGCTGCCGTGGCGGTTTCCGTCGCGGGCGCGCCACTCCTCCGACGCGAGGAGCAGGCGCCCACCCGCATCTTGCTCCGGCGCGCCACGGCCTTCCGATGCCGCAAGGCGTCCGCTCAGCTCGTCGATGGAGAGCTCCTTGAGATCCAGCAGCGTCTCTATGGAGCACGCCATCTGGGAGTACCTAGGCGGCACAACGCGCAGAATCTTCTGCACGCCGTCGAGCTCGGAGGTGGTGTCCCCAAGGGACTGCAGCTCTGTGACCATGCTCGAGACACGGAGAGAGAAATCCTCGACATTCTCTCCTGCCTTGAAAGCGAGCGCGTCGAAGTCCTTCCGCAGCTTCTGCCGACGTGCTTCTCGCACACGATCCACGCCGACGCGGAGTGTCTTGATGGTGTCCCAGGCCACCTTTGCGTCATCCTTGGCGGCCAGGATCTGGACCATCTCAGGCGGCACCGAGCTCAGGATGGCCCCTAGGGCTTGTCTCTCCTGCCGCTCCGGCGCGTCGCCGGTCTCGATCGCCTCCCAGAGTCCTGCGTCTTGCATCTTGACGCGCATCAGAATGGCCCACTCGGTGTAGTTCGTCTTTGTGAGGAGAGGCCACGAGACGGCGCCACCGCCGCGGATCTCCCTCACGACGGTCTCGCGCACCACCACTTCACCGCCGCCAGCTCTCCGAACCCTGCTCTGTCCGCGGCTCGGTGAGCGCACGCGACGTGGGCCGCCTGCAGGCGACCTCGATCCGGCGACTGCCGCCGGTGGTGGCGTCCCAACCATCGCGGTTTCAAGAGGCTTTGATGCCAATTGTTATCACTGAAGATCGAAGAATGCAATTGCAAAAGAACTAACAGAGTAGTGGACAGTCTGTTTTGTGTTGCCTGAAGCTGCAACTTTTCTTCCTTCTATTCATTCTCTCTTATTCTGAATTACAAAGCAAAGGTAGACCTCACGATCCGTAATCCTCGCGCCATCCCACGAGCGAGTCGTGCGTCCACTAGAAACGGTCCTAGTTTGTTAGGCAATGACCAGCACAACTAATCCTATCTCTAACTAACTGAAAAACCGAAAGGAAAGGAGCTAAACTACCTGCAGCCTGACGGCGACAACAGCCTGATGAGCTACAGTAAAGTTCCAGAAAAAAAACAGCTAACTAAGAGGGGAGGATGCACTAGGATTTATTCAACATATAACTTCCACATTGAATCCATTTTCCTTGGCACAAAAAAAAATAGCGGCAGTTTTGCCATCTGTCAAGAAAGCAACGACCATCGTCAATCTTAAAACTCTCAGTAAGAGGTGACATTCTTATATAATCCCTCTGTTCCTAAATATGAGATTTCAAGAAATGACTACATACAGAGCAAAATGAATGAATCTACACTCTAAAATATGTCTATATACATCTGTATGTGATAGTCGAAATCTGAACATCTGTATGTGATAGTCGAAATCTGAACATCTGTATGTGATAGTCGAAATCTGAACGGAAGATATGCCTATATACATCTGTGTGTGATAGTCGAACAGAACTTGGAAAATTGCCTCCATATGAAATCCTTTGAAAAATTACATCCTTGAGGCTGGTCATAGTGGGGAGTAAGTTATTCTAGTATCATGCATATGACACTAGTCTAACTTACTACCTTCATAGTGCAAAGTATTTTAGAGGGTGTTTGTTTTCAGGGACTTTTTTGTGTAGGGACTAGAAAAAGTCCCTCTTAGAGACTTTTTTACCAAACGGTAGGGACTTTTTAGAGACTAAACTAGGCATTTGAGACTAAATGAAGAAGACTCTCAAGAAGAGTCTTTTTGGGACTTTTCCAACAATGCCCCTCCATGCACCCATTGGCCCGCCACCCATGGTGTTGTTTAATTGTTATCTTTCTACATACTAGGGGCAACATAGTCATTTAATAACATCTATGAAGGGACTAGAGACTTTTTAGTCTCTGAAAACAAACAGGGAAAGACTTTTTGGGGACTAGAGACTTTTTAGTTGGGACTAGAAAAAGTCCTAGGACTAGAGAACCAAACACCACCTTAGTAGTAGTGTCATAGATAGTTTTATTTATTGCCTTATAGACTCATTTTACTTCGGGAAGCACTATATTACAGTAACATATTATGTTACTCCAAACATCTTTCTCCTCATTAAATATTTGCCACATAAGCAAAATTGTCTTAGGGTATGTTAAGTTACTATCTAAGTTATCCTCGCTATGACTAGCCTCATGACCGCGGTAACATTGCACTTTAAAAGTAAGACTTCCCCACGGATCTCTCTACATCGTTCGTCACGGCTGGCGACTCGGGAACCATTCTCGGCTCAGCAGCCGCGGTCCAACAGCGTGCACGCTACGCCGTGTCCCCGCCTGTCAACCCAACCAGACGAAAGCCGCGTCCACCCTCGCCACAAAAATCAAAGCAATCACTTGCACGCCACCGCTCTGACCTCCGTACGCATTTATTCACCCCTCTCCCGGCAGTTCCTTCTCCCATCATCCTCCAACCCCTCCGACTCGCGGCACGTTGCCTTTCCCCCCCGCGCCCTACCCTCGCCGTCCGCGGATCAGCCGATCTCGCACGCAATGTCTCAGGTGAGTACCTTCCCGGCACCCCTCGATTTCCACCTTGAGATCTGCTAGGCGAACATCTAATTGAGCGGGGCAGTGGTGATGTTTGGAATCCCAGGCAGTTTTGATCTGTTCCTTCGTACTAACTTTCTTGAAGAACAAGCGTCTCATGTAAGGGATCTGTCCGGTGGCCCGGCAGATCTGTTCGTGCGCGTGACTGGCGATTGTGCTGTTTGTGGTTTTGCTACCGGGGATGTTGATTCGGGGGAACGTGGTCCTGCTCGATTGGTGCTAGTAGGGCGTAGCGGGATTGCTAGAGCTCCTGGCCAATTGTGCAAAATAGAACATTTTGACTGGTCGCAAAAAGTTTTGGGGGTCAGTTAATTAGTCAAAATAAAGTATTTGTAGTTTGGTCAGTCAAACTGTTTGTTGATTGTACCACTATGAAAATTGAACTAATTAGTTATTATTAAAGGGTCAATTATCTTTGTTGAATTTTGAGGATGAGTAAAGAAATTTAATCTCCATCACTTGAAGCAAGGTTTGGTACTTACTAAAGGTTCAGTGTACCTGTAGTTTCCTTGAACAATGTCATGGTGGAACATGCATGCTGATTCTAGTATATTTTCATAATTCGATGGAAGTATGTTATATATAGTGATTACATGATATAGGCCAAGACTGGAAGCAATAATTCATAGTTGTTCTCAACCATGTGGAATTGCTGGAATTAAGATTTGCTCTGTGATGCAGACTGTTGAACTCAGGGTTGGCATGTCATGTGAGGGATGTGTTGGAGCTGTTAAGCGGGTTCTTGGCAAAATGGAAGGTTGGTTTAGCTCTCCTTGTATTGATATAAGTTTTCCTTTCTGTTTTGTTTTAGTTAAATTAAACCCATGCAATTGGAATTGATACATCCTTCAACAGACAATTCTTAGTGGTCACTTGAGATGCTTTCCCAAATTTTTAGTTGCCAAATAGATGGCTTGATGAATGGATCTTGTCGTTAAGCTCCCATTTAGCATCCACTGGCTTTCCCAAAGCACTGTTTTGTTTCCCACTTTGACCAGGTGCTATAGAATGCTTTGGATAAACCTTTTTATTTTTGAATGCTTTGGATAAAACTTGATTCCAAAAGCATTGGGTAGGAATATAATAATACAATAAAAGCTACTCCCTCCGTTCCTAAATATAGGTCTTTCTAGAGATTTCAACAAGTGACTATATACGGAACAAAATGAGTGAATCTACACTCTAAAATATGTCTATATACATCCGTATGTGGTTGTCTATTTGAAATCTCTAAAAAGACTTATATTTAGGAACGGAGGGAGTAAAAGACAACCTTCTTATAGGTATACAGCTCTGGTATATTTTGTTGGTCTAATGGCAATAGCTTGGATATATTACGAATGGTATGATCGTATCCATCATGAACCTAGATGACAGTTAATTCATACTTTATGCATCTGACTCTGCAATAGCTCGATTGATTAATATATACACCAATACATGTATCTATATCACTATGTTAGTGCCCTGGTTGAAACGGCTCATTATTGTGCTATATTGTTGTATGTTAGGGCCCATTTAGAACTTGGAAATTTCCCACCACTTTTGTGTGATTTATTAGCGCTGTGTGTGAATTGAACTATCTCATATGAATGAGTATTCAAAACCATGATTTCCTGTGGGAGTTTGAATGCTCTTCAAGACGTCCGATTCTTTATGCATTTGTGCAAGCATTGATTCTTCCCCAGTGAAGGGGAATTGTTACATTGCAAACAGGCCTTAGGCTTTGAATCTGAACATATTCGTCGGACTTTTGTGGTTTCTTCAGGTGTTGAGTCCTTCGATGTAGACATCAAGGAGCAGAAGGTCACTGTGAAGGGTAATGTGACGCCGGATGCTGTTCTGCAGACTGTTTCGAAGACAGGCAAGAAGACGGCGTTCTGGGAGGCTGAACCCTCAGCGGCATCTGCTGTTTCGTCCTAAAAAGGCACCTCTATAATATGTAAACTGTGAGGTTTGATGTAGCAATGGCCCAGTTGAAATGCTTTGCAAGGACATGATTTTCTGGTGGGACGGTGGTATGTGCACCATGAATTTACTGCAAATAATAGCAAACTGGTAATTTGTTTGTGCACATCTTATGGTTGGCATTCCTGCGCTGTAAATCTGTGATAATTCGGGGAAGAAATTGAATTGCAATTCCTCTCCCGGCAGGGAGCGTGTGGTGGTCTCCCCTCCTCGTCAACACTCGCCGGGTGGGCTTGCCCTCCGCCATTACTGTGCCTCCCGACTACCGCCTTGGCTGTGAGGTCTTTGCTGCAAAGTCGCGCTGCTCGACGCAGGATGGTGGTGCTTAGCGGCACGATGGTGCCTGGGCCATGTCCATGACGCGTGAGGACAGGCCTGTGCCAGCTTCCTCCGATACCATAATCGAACCTTTGGCTTGTGCTTCCATTGCCTGGGAAAGTATCTACTGCTACCAAGCTTTAGGTGTTATCGTGATACAAGCTTCTGGGCTGTCGAATTCTTAGATCAGACGGCTCTCAATAACTCTGTAACATTTGCAAAAAAGATTACAAGGAGTCCAAAAATGCGCATAGCTCCAGCGGATTCAACAGTTCCCGGATGCCGTTCGATCTAAGAATCTGACTGTCCAGATGCCCGTGAAGCTTCTGGGCTGTCGGATTCTTAGATCAGGCGGCTCTCAATAACTCTGCAACATTTGCAAAAAAGATTACAAGGAGTTCAAAAATGCGCATAGGTCCAGCGGATCCAACAGTTCCCGGATGCCGTTCGATCTAAGAATCCGACTGTCCAGATGCCCGTATCACGGTAGCATTTAAGACTCAGTAGCACTAGATACTCTCTCACATTGCCTTATAGAGCTTTCCATGGGATGTCGTGCCTCCATTTGTCGGGACCTTGTTTGCTGCATCACCTGCAACCTCTCTGGCCATCAAGAGCATGCTTGCCCGCCGTGCTGTGCCCCAAAGTGAGCTCCGCGCCCTAATGTGGCCATGTCCACCAGGCATCTTTTCACACCTCACGAGCAGGGTGCTCCGTCGTGGGCAGAGATCGTCGCCGCCACTCCTCGCCCTTCATCCTTGCTCCTGTCAACGGGGCGATCCACGTCACGAACGTCAACCTAAGGACGACATTCGAAGATCATGCTTGCCTCCTGCGCGCGTAGTTGCACACCGACCTCAACGCGGTTGTCTTGCCGTTGAAGAAGGCCTCCAATCTTAGTCAGTGGATGTTGCGTGCATCTTCCTTCATGGAGTGGATCGAAACCGCCTTGTCTTACGTCTAGGCTCTCTTGCCAATGTCCCTTGGAGATCGCTTGACTCATCCTATGGACTGTTGGTTCCTCCCTTGTGAGTAGGATCTCCTTGTTGCATTGCTTGAATGGGCCCATGGACATCGATTCACGGGGAATGACCCTATGCTTGATGAAGCATTAATGCCTCAGGTATCACTCAATGTCAACTATCCTCTGGGCTGCTCTATTTGGTGTGATGAGGTGTGGATGGACCTTGTGTTTTGTTGGTAGGGAGAGAGGAGTTCATCGACGCGATGTGCTCAGAGGCTACGATCATGTTGTTTCACCCCCGATGGCTCCCCCCCACCCACCCAGACTACCGATGTGCATTTCCTCGCACATCCGATTTTTCGGTTTGGAGGATTCACTTGGTTTCAACACGGAGCATATGATGGGCCCATCCCTAGTGCTGAGGTTGAGTCTCAGGTTGAGGTGAGCAGTGTCGTTGCAAAGGCAACACAAGTTGATGCTCATCCATTATCTTTAGTTGATTTTCTTAGCAAGGTCGCTAAGGAGGTCCCACTCCCTTTGCCTGGGACCTCGACGACTTTGCACGGGGAGAAGGATGGCGTGTCTCACTCTGGCGGTGTAGTGGACATCTGGGAAAGAAGAATATTGCATGCAACATCCCGACGGCCAAGCGCGCAGAGCATAGGTTGTTGGAGGTTTTTGGTGAGTTGCAGAGGTAAGCAAAGTGGAGAGCACTGAGCAAAAGATGAAAGCCTACCTGGACATGTACAAAAAACCGCTTTCGCACCAAGTGATCATGGCGTTGAGCACTTTGGCAGGCATTCCTGGGAAGTCGAAGTTGGACCTTATACGATGTTTCCCTCATGATAATGTCAGATCAAAAAACTTCAATGCAGAGGTGGAGGCAAGGCTCGGTCTGGATGAGATCCGTTGGACGAGTTAATAGTTTTGGGCCTTGGCGCTCTTGTGACTGGCTCAAACGATGTCCCTTGATGTCGCATGCGTCTTGTCCCTATCCCCAAGGTCTAGTGTCCTCTTTTTTTTTTGCTTTCCATTTTTCTCCTTTTTAAGGTTCTCACTTGCTTTTCCTAATTAACCAGGAAATGTTCTGTTTTTTGGTCCGATTTTCCTTATAACTGGACCATCTCTCTTCTTCTTAGTGAACCGCGGGACCCCTGCCCTCGTGATGAGGTTCTTAAAAAAGATAAATATGGAAGATCTTCCTTGGGATATAGGAAGAGAGAAAACCCCAAGTTTGTACATCTTTGGTTAACAAAATTCAAAATTTGTTACAAGGGGCTTTTTTAATGGTGGCTCCACTTTGACTTTGATAATTGTATTGCTTGTGAAAGTATGTGTTCGCATATGTCAGATTGATCTACCCCCTTGTGAATTGCAGTTTGAAAAAGGTTAGGTGTGACAATTGATTTTTTTTTTCTTCATAGGAAAAGGTCGAAGGTATCTGCGTCTTTGAATTTTATTTAGTCCTATATTTTGTTGGAAATTATTTATAATAGTGAACTTGCAAAATAAATCTATTTATCATATTGAGATACGTTGCTTCTGATCATGTTTCACCTTACGTGGCTATCAAACAAAAATATCAGTGATTTTTAGTACAAGTTTTGTCCCCGCTCGGAGTGGGGATATTGTTTCTCTTCTACATGTGTATGGAGTTACTGTAAAAGCACGATCCCTAAAAGATATATATTGAGGTCGGACTTTGTTTAAATACCACACTCATGTGTCAATTTTAGGAGTTGAAATAACAGAATAGGAGGGTTACTGTGATATGCAGTAATAGAGTTCATGTGGAAGATCCGTTCAGAGTGCCTTGTTGTTTAGGGATTCCTTGATTCACAGGATTGAGAAAAGGCAAGAAAAGAAAAAACAAAAGATTATCATGGTATGTTCACTTAGATCCCATGTGATTTTATTTGCACCATAGAAAAACAAAGAATTGTTTGCAAGAAGCTGGAGTGGATGGCGATTTTCATTTAAAATGTAGTGCAATTGATTCCTTGAAAACAGATCATATGTGATTCAAATCCCGCGAATCAAACAACCAATATAGAAAAGTTTATAAGGATTTTAACTTTTCACTGTTCTTATAAAAAGCCTTTGAATCAAAGAGAACCTTACTATCTTACTCTTCCTTTGCACCCCACCCGATAAAAGGAGGGATCGGTAGATGGAAATAGAACTTGCTATTGACTCATGATTATGTCCGTTAAAGGTTTCAAACTTATAAATGATATAACTTTGAAAATCCTAGTCTTTTTTCTATATCTAGAAGTGATATAAAATATTCGTTGAAGGTAAGATCAAAACGCATGTTTCATAATAGGTCATATTTTTCTACTTTAGTTGATTGCTATTCACAACTACCTTGATGGCACACCTTTACTATTTTCCAAATGATAAGTACCACATGTCAGTGCGTGACACTCTGGCCCTGACGTTTTTTATGACAATTCCGGTCATGCAAGGATGGCAAATCCCAATGACACACGGCAAGTTTATATCAAAAATAAAGAAAGTTGCCATCTTTGGATCGCTAAACTTGCCATAGAAAACGTTTAGAGTATTTTTTTAACACCACCTTATATTAATTAACCAGCCACACCATTACACTCATTCGATACAATATTAACCACACAGGGCGGAACATTATTTACAGGAATACTATCTAATCTATTGTCAAAGCTATACTTAGCGATTAAATGTGCCACCATATTGGCCGAACGACTAATCTTTGACAATTGAAGATTGTTGATCAACTTCGAGATGCTCAACGCTTTCATCTTCAGGTCACAGATAGCAGACCTGTCATAGTCCCCCGATGCAAGAGACGCTACCACAAAAGCGCAATCAGTCTCTAAAATTATAGGATTATGAAAAGAAATACCTATGTAGAGACCGGTAATGCAAGCACTAAGCTCCGCTTCCTCCACGCTTTGACATGCATCAAAGAAATCCCACGACGAAACAATAAC